ACCATACACACGCATCCATCAAGTTGTTGTTAGTGTTGGTTACAGGAGAACTTTGTCGTGATGCCGGGACCTTTTCCTCCTATATTAAAAAAGTTAAATATCTAAAACATTACATTTCCCGGATTTTTTTTTTTAACTAAAGGCAAGTTGTTTTTTACCTGTTAATATGCCCACGGATAAGGTTGGTAGCTAGTGTACGCTATTTACATTGTTCTTGATGGTCTCTCCCTCCTAGTGGTAATGGCAGTACACTTTCTTCACTGCTCAGAATAGCTCATGATTCTCTGTTGATGCCTCAGTGGGAGAATTGTTTATTTAGGGTGTCGTGGTGTGTTCCTGTGACTGACCACCCCTTCTGCCTCCGTAGCCTCTATATCATCTTCTCCCCAGTCGCTTCTACCACCACCTCCTTCCTCCGTTGCCTCTACCACCACCACCACCTCCTTCCTCCATTGCCTCTACCATCACCACCACCTCCTCCTCCTCCACCTCCGTTGCCTCTACCATCACCACCTCCTTCCTCCATTGCCTCTACCACCACCACCACCTCCTCCTCCACCTCCGTTGGCTCTACCACCACCACCTCCTTCCTCCATTGCCTACCACCACCACCACCTCCTCCTCCACCTCCGTTGCCTCTACCACCACCACCACCACCTCCTCCTCCACCTCCGTTGCCTCTACCATCACCACCACCACCACCTCCGTTGCCCATTGCCTCTACCACCACCACCACCTCCTCCTCCGTTGCCTCTACCACCACCTCCTCCTCCGTTGCAATGTCGTGTTTACTGTTACCGTGATGAGTGGAGGACTGATGTGTACATACCCTGACAGGTAGACATAAATACTCACACACAGTCTTATGACACCCGGTAATGTTGTTTGCTGAAGATATAGTCGGTGTTTTAGTGGTGAATGAGAGGCAGGTGTTTTCATGATTCGTCAATGTATGTTTATATCTGTAATTAGAGAGACTGCTTATAGTAATGGGTCAACCTTGGTGTTATTTTTGAAGACATTTTAGCAGTTTTTTTTTTTTTGACTATTTTCTAACGTAAGTAATTAACTCTGTCATCACTATTACCCTAACTATACATCAACCATCAAAACCTACCAGCACCTACCACCCCCCTGCCCTTCATCCGTCAACCTCCTCCCTACCAATCTCTTCCCTCCACTCCACCCTTTCCCCACCACCACCTCCCCAACCCCCTCATCCTCAACCTCCTCCCTACCAAATCTCTCCACCTCCACCCACCCCAACACCACCTCCCCACTCCCCCCTTCCCACCACCCCACCACCACCAAGGGTTTGAAGTAGTATTAAAAATGTCTCCGTCCAACACGACCATGTGCAAAATTCATTAAACTTGTGTAGTTAGAAGAGGGAGGAGGTAAAGTTGTGTAGCCGGGTGTAAGTGTAAAGTTTCTGGGTGTTGTCTTGTCTGTCGGGGAACACAAACTGCTCGCCCGTCGTCTTTTTTCCCCAGACAGCCAGTACTGTGGTGGGTGAGGTTAGGTTAGGTTAGGTGTCTTGGTGGGTTAGGGTGTCTTGGTGGGTTAGGAGGTAGTGTCTTGTGGGTTAGGTTAGGTGTCTTGGTGGGTTAGGTTAGGTGTCTTGGTGGGTTAGGTTAGGTTAGGTGTCTTGGTGGGTTAGGTTAGGTTAGGTGTCTTGGTGGGTTAGGGTTAGGTAGGTGTCTTGGTGGGTTAGGTTAGGTAGGTGTCTTGGTGGGTTAGGTTAGGTTAGGTGTCTTGTGGCGGTTAGGTTAGGTGTCTGGTGGGTTAGGTTAGGTTGTGTGTCTAGTGGTTAAGGTTTTGGTGGGTTAGGTTAGGTGTTTTGGGGTTATACAGATGACTTGGGGAGACGGCCACTTGGACCCTGTCATTATAGGCCCCTATCCTCATGGGGTCTTCTCCTAATTGACCCAAACCTAACCTAATCTAACTTTGTTCTAAAGGGCCACACAGTCTTGAAGGAACCAAATCCTTAATGTATTGTAATATTATGGTCTGGAAAGTCGAGGGATTGGGCCAGTTGACTTCAATGTGTGTGTGTGTGTGTGTGTGTGTGTGTGTGTGTGTGTGTGTGTGTGTGTGTGTGTGTGTGTGTGTGTGTGTGTGTGTCTGCATATGTGTGTAGTATCCGTATGTGTGGGTGTGAAGGGAGGGGGAGGTAAACATGAAGGTTCTGTACAGTGAAATTAGTCCCACACCCCTGGCCTACACACCCCTTTTTGGCTTACACCCCTTGGCTTACACACTTTTGGCTTCACACACCCCTGCCTACACACCCCTTGGCCTACACACCTCTTGGCCTACACACACCCCTTGGCTCTACACACCCCTTGGCTTACAACACTCTCACCTATAAATCTGGTCACATAATTCCTTGGCTCACACACCCCTTGGCACTACACACCCCTGGCTCACACACCCCCCTTGGCTCACACCCCTTGGGTTTAAACACCTCTTTGGCTTCAACACCCCCCTTTGGCACCACACACCCCTTGGCTTCACACACTCTGGCTTGCCACACCCCCTTGGCCTAAACACCTTGGCTCACACATCCCTTGGCTTCACACACCTCTTGGCCACACACCTCGGCTTACACACCCCTGGTACACTTCTTGCCCACACACCCTTGGCCTACACACCCCTGGCTTACACACCTTCTGGCTTCACACCCTTGGCCTACACCCCTTGCTTCACATTCCCATTGCCTACACCTCATTGGCCTACACACCTTGGCCTACACCCTCGGTAACCAGTGTCTCTAAACGGCACCGTCGCAGTAGTAGAATCACTGTTTATGAATGAATAAGTATTGGGCCTGTTGTAGTAATGTTTCCTGTGTCATAATGGGCCCCATTCATAATTGGCTCCAACCTAACTTGAGCTTTAGGTCTGGGGCCCAATTTTGAGGCTCAATTATAACAGACCCCAAGTCTTAATGGTGTAGTTGAGGCTTATTAGGTCTGGGGCCATTTATAATTGCCTTCAGTCCTGGTGTATGAACCCCAATCCTTATGAACCCCGAGGCTAATGAACCCAAATCCTAGTGAACCCCTCGCCTTATGAACCCCCAATCCTTGTGAACCCCGAGCCTTATGAACCCCCAATCCTTATGAACCCAAATCCTAGTGAACTCCGAGCCTTATGAACCCAATCCTTGTGAACCCTGAGCCTTATGAACCCCAATCCTTGTGAACCCCAGCTTATGAACCCCAACCTTATGAATCCAACCAGGAACCCTTGCTTATGAACCCCAACTTGTGAACCCCGAGCCTTATGAACCCCCAATCCTTATGAACCCAAATCCTAGTGAACCCCGAGCCTTATGAACCCCCAATCCTTATGCGTAGAAAAGGTTAGTTTAGTTCTTGGAAGGACTGAGGTTCATAGTGTAACCTGGTCAGCCTTGAGAACCTGACTGGTGGTGCGTCACGCGAAGACAGGGGTAGTGTGTGTGTGTGTGTGTGTGGTGGTGTGTGTGTAGGACAGCCAGCGTTGAGGACATGTGTACTTGTGAGAGTGGTGGTGTGAGTGTCAGAGTGTCCTGTTGAGAGCATGGGAGTCAACAACCTCACTCACTCATCATCCTCACCTCACTCACTCATCATCCTCACCTCACTCACTCATCACCCTCACCTCACACTCACCTCTCATTCATCATCCTCACACGCAGCTCACAATTTACTTAAGTAGAAATATGTAATTGTAGACCTGAATTGGAATAGATCTTTATCCCGTGTTTAGTGTAAATTATTGGTCAGGTCAGGTCAGGTCAGGTCCATATGTACTGTAGTATCCACATGCTTCCCTGTAATGCTTCTGCGCTTCGCCTTATGCGGGATGTAAGGAGGTGCCCAATAAACTAGCTAGCAGGATGTAAAGGGGTGCCCAATAAACTAGCACGGGATGTAAAGGGGTGCCCAAAACCAGCACAGGATGTAAAGGGGGTGCCCAAGAACCAGCACAAGACGTAAAGGGGGTGCCCAATAAACTAGCACAGGACGTTAAGGAGGTGCCCAATATACTAGGAAAACGTAAAATGGGTGCCCAATAAACTAGCACCCGCGCTGTATGGAACAAATCAGAATCTAAAATCATTTGTACGTAATTATGAGTCAATCCACCGGAAGTCTCGACTTTCTTAAGACAATGAGTGAGTTTCTGGTGAGTGTTGTGTTATTCATCCGTGAGTCACAAGTGAAGGACACCGCTTCGTTGTCCTCTGTCTCTCGTAGTTGTGTGTGTGTGTGTGTGTGGCAGTTGGAGGGTTGATTGTATGTGTATAGGGGACTGATTGTGTGTAGGGAACGTTTATTGTTAATATATGAGGGGTGATTGTTAGTGCGGAGGTAATGGTTGCCCCTCGTGTAGCGAGGATGGCCGGGTCACCTAGGCGTGAATTTGTTTAAGGTGTAGAAGCTGTCGTCAACACAACAACCACTCCTTGAGTTTACCAGCTGCATGACCCAGTGTCAAGGAATAGTCCGAGAAGACCGGACAACTCGCTAACTGCACTGGCTAACTATTACCCCAGAATACGATTCGCCAATCGATTAACATCCAAGTTCCCAATTACTGCTGGATAGACAGAGGCAAATGGCGTATAAAGAAATTTGTCCATAGTTTCACCCCCGCCCGGGGATCGAACTGGTTCGCCTGCTTGCGAGGCGAGGATGCTGACCAGTGACCATACACCACAAGTAGTTGGAGTTAGGTATGAAGCTAGGTTAGGTTTAGCTAGGTTAGGTTGAGCTAGGTTAGGTTTAGCTAGGTTAGGTTTAGCTAGGTTAGGTTGAGCTAGGTTAGATTAGATTTTAGTATTATTGCGTTTAGTCATCAGGTAAAATAAGTGCCTGACAGAGGGAAGAAGGGGGTCCTATTTTCATGCCCCCCCATGTCTCGCTACTCCTACACTATGACGACGTTACAGTTACCATCACCTATTGTATACAAGTTAATGTATTTCTCTCTCTCTCTTGTTACAGTTTACGTCGAGGTCCCGGAGCCAACGTTCAGGACACCACCGGGTACACGGCGCTCCACCATGCTGCTCTCAATGGCCACAAGTGAGTGTTGGTAGTACTTTCCTAACCTAACCTGACCTGACCTAACCTAACCTGACCTGACCTGACCTAACCTGACCTGACCTGACCTGACCTAACCTAACCTGACCTAACCTGACCTGACCTGACCTAACCTAACCTAACCTAACCATAGTGGCAGTAGTTCTCATCCACAATAGTGCCAATAAGTCCCTTTTCCTAACATGGCTCCATCAAGTCCATTCTTCAATACACTTCACTAAGGTCATCATCCCACGCCCATAACAAGTAAATATCACGTTATTTTACATTGAAATCGGCCAAAAACTTACTTATACAAACACTTTAATCCTTTATAACATGACACACTTACGCCCACACAGTCTTATAATAAAAATCTGATTCATACACTCAGATGTAGAGGGACTTGGCTGTAGATGCACTCAGGTTTCGAGGGAATTAGTTGAGTCAGAGTGTAAGTGGGAAGGAACATTTGTTGGCTAAGAATAAGATTTTTGGGGGAGATAATTTTCTGAGAGTTTGGGGTTTAAGGGAATTTAGTTGCTTAATTTAAGGGTTTAGGGGAATTAGTTGCCAGATTTAAGAGTTTAGGGGAAATTAGCTGCGAAATTTAAGGGTTTAGGGGAAATTAGCTGCGAAATTTAAGGGTTTAGGGGAAATTAGCTGCGAAATTTAAGGATTTAGGGGAAATTAGCTGCGAAATTAAGGGTTTATAATGAATTAGCTGGACAAAGTAAGAGATTAGAATGAATTAGTTACCTAAGGGTTAGTCACATTGCTAGTTAATTACTATAAATCTTTAATTTTATTCTTTTCACGTTAAATATAATATTGCATTAATTATGTTTGAAAATAATATGTAGGATTAAATAAAGTACTCATGTGAAATATTAAATAGAGCTGAAACGAATGGTTGTAGGCGAGGAATGGAGAGTATAGAGAAATATTTAAAAAGATTTGGTATTTTTTTTAGATATTATTAAAAAAAAGAGATTTATTTAATTTATTGTAGTACAGTATATTAGATTAACTATTTTTAAGATATAAATAAAATCCAATAATTTTTTATTTTTTTGCCTGGTAACCTTGAATTTGTCTTGAATTTTGGTATGCTCGGCTGGTGTACATCTTGTTATTACTAGGTTAAGGTACTACTGGGTCACTCATCACTAGGTTACTCATCACACTCATCACTAGGTTACTCATCACACTCATCACTAGGTTACTCATCACACTCATCACTAGGTTACTCATCACACTCATCACTAGGTTACTCATCACACTCATCACTAGGTTACTCATCACACTCATCACTAGGTTACTCATCACTAGGTTACTCATCACACTCATCACTAGGTTACTCATCACACTCATCACTAGGTTAAGCCACTACTAGGTCACTCATCATTAGGTTGTTCATCACTCAGTATACCCTCACCATATAACACCCATCTCGTGTGGTCGTGTCTTCAGGGACGTGGTGTCGTTGCTGCTGGCTCACGAGGCGTCATGTAACGTACAGGATGGGAAGGGGTCGACGCCGCTACACCTGGCCGCCTGGGCTGGCCACACCGAGGTGGTCAAGGCGCTCCTCCACCAGGGCCCATCCCTCGCCAACGTCAACCACCAGGTATGTCGCCAGTCATACTTTGTAATGTTCCTAAGATATCGCCAGCACTAGCAGTCAGTAGTGTCTGGCGTTACAAAGCCATCGCTAGCACAAGCAGTCCACAATGTCAGACGTTTATGGAAGCTACATCATGTCGACCCTTGATTGTATGTGCGACAAACAGCTATTAAACCCCACGAGAATCTTTCAAGTTTTAGTGGAGAGGAAAGATGGATTCAAGGCCTTGTTTATAGTTGACCAGGGAACTCGAGTCTGACCTTAGGATTCAAATTAGTTAAGGTCTTTAAAAAATTAATTGATCATAATATACAAGATAGGAAACAAAGGTCACCAGGGATTATTCATTTCTGTGGTAAGTTTTATTGACAAAAAATAAATCCCTCTTGTTCTAAACGGATCCATCAGTGAGGTCAGGAGAGGTAGTACATATTCAGATGACTAATACAACCAATAATTTAGGTTGTCGGGCAGGTAGAGTCCACCAACTGACTCATGAATCATACCGTTCGGGTTCGTCTACAGGAGTATGAGTGTTTCTTCTTTAACATGTACGGTACACACCTGGGACATACCTTATTGTTTGGTCCAATTATTTTATTATTAGTATTTTTTTCCCAGTGAAGTTTTATATATTTTTACCTTGATTACCTCCCATTAATTACATTTGACCTTTTAACCATTAAGTACTCTCTGTTTATTTTGTGCTGCTGTTGAATATATATATATATATATATATATATATATATATATATATATATATATATATATATATATATATATATATATATATATATATATATATATTTCATGTAGATCCACAATGAAAACGTGGATAAGATAAATCTTGATAAAATCACACGGGAAAAGGGAAACAACGGAGCACCTTAGCTTTCTTCTTTGTTCAAGACATCTTCAGAGCCTTCCTTCTTCCCCTGATCAGTTAGGTCACATCTGTAAGGTTCATTACAGCGCATGGTCCTTCCCATGGACCCTGCAGCTTCGGTGACTGACCCTTCTTCCGCAGAGGGTTATACAGCCAGACCTTATCACCATCCTTGTAACTATAACCTAACCTAACGTAACCCTAACCTAACCCTAGCCCAACGTAACTATAACCCTAACCTACCGTAACTATAACCTAACCTAACGTAACTATAACCTAACCTAACCCTAGCCCAACGTAACTATAACCCTTACCTACCGTAACTATAACCCAACCTACCGTAACTATAACCTAACCTAACGTAACCTCTAACCCAACCCTAGCCCAACGTAACTATAACCTCACTACCGTAACTATAACCCAACCTACCGTAACTATAACCCAACCTCAGCCCAACGTAACTATAACCCTCACTACCGTAACTATAAACTCAACTACCGTAACTATAACTCAACCTAACCCTAGCCCAACGTAACTATAACCCTTACTACCGTAACTATAACCTAACCTACCGTAACTATAACCTAACCTAACCCTAGCCCAACGTAACTATAACCTCACCTACCGTAACTATAACCTAACCTACCGTAACTATAACCTAACCTAACCCTAGCCCAACGTAACTATAACCCTTACCTACCGTAACTATAACCTAACCTACCGTAACTATAACCTAACCTAACCCTAGCCCAACGTAACTATAACCCTAACCTAACGTACTGTAACTATAACCTAACCTAAGTTCCCAGGTAGTATTAGATCATTTTAATCATCAGGTGACATAACCAGGAGTCTAATCTTCACGTGATCAAAGCAAAAACAATTCTAGTCTGTGTCTTGGGTTTCTCAGCTAAAGGTCAAAGGTCAAATTTGGCGGCGGGAAATTTATAAACATTGGTGAGGTTCTCTCCATACTCTCACGCAGTCTTCCCTGGTCGTGAGTTTTAATCTATTTATTTTGTGTGTGTGTGTGTGTGTGTGTGTGTGTGTGTGTGTGTGTGTGTGTGTGTGTATCTTAAGTAATATTTGTCCGTTTGTTTAATTATCTTTTATTATTTTTAGCTCGAGTTGTTTTATCCTGTATTTTTTTCTATACGTTTTGTTTGTCTATTTTATTTATTTTATTATTGTGTTTTTTTCTTTATTTTTTTATTATTGCATTGTCATTTTTATTATTGTATTTTTTCCTTATGTTTATTATTGTATTTAGATATTTATACCATTATTATTTTTTATATTAATTCTCTACTCTAGTTTTCCAATCCTTAAATCAGTCGGGTTTTTTTTTCTTTTTTTTTTTTTTTTTACTTTTTTACTTTACTATTTAATCTTTTCTCAACACACAATAGGATTACAGTGAATAATCTTCGTTTCTTTAGCCTCTACTTGTGTGTGTGTGTGTGTGAGAGGGTCAGGTCAGCCCAGGCAGGACCCAGCAGCGTACGATTTTGGAATTCCATCAACACAGTTCTTAACTTCCTCGCCAGTGATCAGTGAAGCGTAGAGCCTGTGTGATGACCACGAGGGCACACACTGTGGGGAGGAGAGTGGTTGAAGATGGTAGTGTGAGAGGGAGGAGTTTTGAGGTGGATAGAAGGAGATGGGAGGGGGGGGAGGGGAGAGAGGGAGGAGTTTGAGGTGGGAAGGAAGGAAGGAAGGATGGGAGGGGTGGGGTGGGGAGAGAAGGAGGAGTTTTGAGGGTGGGATGGAAGGAAGGGAAGGGGGTGGGAGGGAAGGAGTGGGGTGGAGTGTGGGAGAAAGGGAGGAGTTTTGAGGTGTGGGAAGGAGTGGAGGGAAGATTAAGGTTGTGGGTGGGGAGGGAGGGAGTAAGTTTATGGGTGAGGAAGAGAGAGAGAGAGAGAGAGAGGAGGGAAGGAATGGAAGGATATTAAGGCTTTGAGGTGTGGAGGAGAGTAGGAGGTTGAGGGAGAAGGAAGATTAAAGTTTTGGGTGAGTGGAGAGAGAGAGAGAGAGAGAGAGAGTATCCACAATGCCAAGTAAATACTGAATGATTTATGTGTTTTTCAAGTCCATTACCAAAAAGTCCTCGACTGTTTCATTGTTATTAATACAGTAGGGGATAGGTTAGGTTTTATCTAATTATCAGGCAATGTAAACCAACTTCACTTTCAGGGGTCGGGTTAGGTTAGGTTAAGTTAGGTTGCTGGGTTAGGTTGGGTTGGGTTAGGTTGGGTTAGGTTAGGTGTGGTTAGGTTAGGTTTTATCTAATCAGGCTACATAAACCAATACCACTTTCAGGGGTTAAGGGAGTGGGGTGATGTTTGTTTGCTTCTGTTGTTTTTTTGTGTTTATAAATTTTGTTTGTTTGTTTTTTCCTTCTGAAAAAATTGTAGACTGGATTATAAATGTAGTGTGTTTTTTCCTCATTTTGTTCATCTTTCTCTCTTTTCCTCCTACTCATTTTCCCACACTTCTCCCTTTTCCTCTTCCACTCACTTTTTCCTCCTTCATTTTCCCTCCTCGTCTGTCACGTTTTTTTCTCCTCCTCCTCGTCTTCACCTCCCTCCTGCTGGTGGTGTCCCCGGGTGCCCCCAGGTCCGCGCCGTCCACTGGTCATCTTAGAGACGTCCGCCAAGACTCTGATTGATTAAACTTCAATCAGTGTGATCACGAAGCGTGCAACGAGGTGATCGTCGGCCGCCTGGGGTACACCAGGCTGGGGAAGAGGAGGAGGAGGAGGGAAGAAGAGGAGGAAGAGGAGGAGAAAGAGGAGGAGGAAGTGAAAGGAAGAGGAAGAGAAGGTGTGTATGTATGTGGGAATGGAAGGAAAGGAGAAGGAAGATGGGTAAAGGAAAGGGAAGGGAGATGTGTGGGAAGTGATGGAAGGGGGAGGAGAGGTTTGTTTGTGTGTGTGTGGGAGAGAGTTCGTGGAAGAGGTAGGAGGGTCAATTCTTTGGTAGTAGAAATAGTTAGGGGTTGGGTGGGGTTGGGGGTGGGGGTGAACTAACGTGATATATACAAGTATTTTCCCTATTCCCATCATCTGGTCCTTCTCTTGTTTACATCATGTCCGCTATGTAGTAGTATGTTAGTATGTTGGTTAGATCGGGTAGTAAATATTGCTGTTTTAATATTTTGTTTTTTTTCTGCTTGGATTAATTTTCTTTACCTCCCAAACACCGAGGGGGAAAGATCGACACAGAAACACTCATTCACCTGGTGTGTCTTGGGTCAGGCAGGTATTACCGAGTCAGGCAGGTATTATCGGGTCAGGCAGGTATTATCGGGTCAGGCAGGTATTATTGTCAGGCAGGTATTATCGTCAGGCAGGTATTATCGAGTCAGGCAGGTATTATCGAGTCAGGCAGGTATTATCGGGTCAGGCAGGTATTATCGGGTCAGGCAGGTATTATCGGGTCAGGCAGGTATTATCGGGTCAGGCAGGTATTATCGGGTCAGGCAGGTATTATCGGGTCAGGCAGGTATTATCGGGTCAGGCAGGTATTATCGGGTCGTATTGGCAGTAGGGGAAAAAAACTGACCAGGTGTTATTTTTTTTTACCTGTACTACAAAAACATTCTGGGTTTAATGAGGCAATACTTGACCCCACTTGTATTTTATCTATCTATTATCTATCTATTTTATCTATTAACAAACACACAGACACATATACCTTAAATCATCAATGCTGTAAAAGTGTTCGAGATATAAATGCACTTGAGATTTGTGATAACATTTACTGTCTCTAATTTTCACTATAGTGGCTACAGTATAGGCAAAGAGATATATGGTGTCTCAGTCTATACATTTATACTAGCATAAACTGACTGACTGACTGACTGACTGACACTCACTCACAATAGACCACATGTTGCGTATTACCTTGAAAGATGTCGACACTATTAAACTACTAGATACAGTACAAGGCAGTTAGGTTGTTAGTCAGAGTACAGGTATAAACATGTTTGGTCGTGCTGTTATTTTTATTAGCTAAAGAATTTCCCATTTTTCAGTAACATTTTTGTGGTGTGTTTTATTATCAACTTTATATAGGTCTCAGAATTCACAGGGCCTGATGTATATGGCAAATGTATA